AAACTGCCTCAGCGGAGTGCCGGGGTCAAAACCGTGCTGGGATGAAGAGAGGAAGTGATGCGATTTGAGGCAGTGGTGAATCTGACGCTGCAGCAATTTCACCACCTTGGAGATAGCTAGAAGGATGGAGGTAGGCTGGAAGATGGCAAGATTATCAGGATCGCCGGACTTGCAGATGAGATGCACCAACGCATGTTTTCATGAGCTGGGGATGTCTCCACAACTACAAATGAGTCAACAATGCAAAATTATGTGACCTACGGAGTTGTTGACGCTCTGTGTACTCTAATGCAAAAACCGTCAATGCCACATATGTATAAGCTACGTATTCTGAACAAGTGTAGTGCAGATGCGTCATAGCGACCGGTTGCAAGGTTGTGCGAGTAAGGTCATGCAAAATGGAACCCTCTGGAAAATAAGCACCAGTTGATAAAGAATGACTGAACGCAGTGATCAGAACCCACGCCAACACGCGCCAACTCGGTGAAGCCGAACAGCAGCCTCAAGTGCAACTATCTTGGTAAGTACTCGCTGTCCGACGTTAACGAAAACAGCTAATTCATGACACTTGGTCAGACTGTATGTTCCGCGCCCCGGCTAGGTCGTTCACCATGGATGATGCTGCGCATGCACACCTATGCTGAGCGTGGCCCGTCAGCACCAATCTTCTCCGCTAAATTGCGTCTAGGCACGGATGCATCAGAAATGTGTCCTTCAATCCACAGTTTATTTACCCGCAGCGAGAAGAGGTCTATGAGAAAGTAAAATTGGAATAAGGTGGAGGAAAATGAAAAAAACGAGGGGAAAAATATATACGTTGACTGTACGCTGCCGGCGAGCATCCGGTCTGCTAGATCACTAAGCAACCCCAACGTTGTTTAATATATTTGACAAAGCCAGTGTGAAATGCGACAAGCTCGGCCTCAAGAAAAGGATTGGGCCATTAACACTATGCAGAAGTGAAACAAGTACGTAAATGAAGTCCAGTTCATCTTTACCTGGACGCGATCAAAATATTTGAGTTTTTATTAGCCTTTTAACACTTTTACCGAAATTGCTAAACTAAGGCAAAGATAACAACGGTGTCAGAGTTTCCAGAAACGTGGATAGAAGCAAATCTGTCGATTTCTGAGACCGAACCTGCCAGGGCTCGACAGACCCATAACAAGACAATTATGTGAGTAACGTTACTTGTAAGCGAGGGCACGAACGCCATAGCAGTAGCTTCTTCCTCGCTAAGCTAAATGAAAGACAGACCTCATGAAGGGTGTAGATTTACGAAGTAAGTTGTGGAAAGATGCTGAGCATGGATAAATGGCAAATTCCACCCCGAAGATACCTTAAAAATATGTCTCTCCCAGCAGTTGACCTATTTTTTGTCTCAAAATCAAAGACCACTAACTCATTCCGAGCTAAATAGAAAACTGCACGTCTGCTCCTCAAAGCACTGATCATGTCCATGTGTATGATTTCCAAAGATATCCTGCTCTACTGACGCAGGTAGCTAACATCTGCACTGCATCTGCTTAGGTAACATGTGCACAACGCTTACCTTGCTGGTCTGCCTGTCTCATTGTCTGTTATCACCATGCTCGTACTACAACGTGTATTGTACAATACTAGTCATAAGAGAAGCAGTATTGAGCCAAATCATCGTTGATGGGTGAATACAAAGAGGAAATGGCAGCATTGGCATCTAGGTCGCCAGCATTTGTCGAAATCGCACATGCATTAGCAATGAGCAGCAGATAAGTAGCAGACTGCTCACCATGTGGTCACCATGCGTTTTTTTAAAAGTGGTTGTGCCAAAATATAGATTAACTGTCGTCCATCAACAAGTAAAAGGCCCAATCAAACTGCTCTTATATGCATAGGTAATGCTCCTCGCAGCTGCACTGAACAAGCACGAAGCCTTCGAAACGCTGAGTTACGTCCTAAGTGAGTTTTGCACATCTTCTTACCACATTGCTTTATCGAGATACTTCACATTGGATCAACTTTGACCCATTGCACCCCGGAATGGTGAGAGCCGCCGTAATCAGAGCGCACCATCCGTTTGCTGTCCGTTGATATACGCATCAGTCATGTGTGGCGGCTTCTCAGCCTGGTCACATCAGCTGCTAAAATAGTGCAATTCACGTCTGACGCGGAGCGCTGTCCTGCGCAGCCTAAAAACAGTGCACTTCAAGTTTGACGCGGAGCGCTGTCCTGCGCAGCCTAAAAACAGTGCACTTCAAGTTTAACGCGGAGCGCTGTCCTGCGCGGCCTAAAAATAGTGCACTTCAAGTTTGACGCGGAGCGCTGTCCTGCGCGGCCTAAAAATAGTGCACTTCAAGTTTGACGCGGAGCGCTGGCCTGCGCAGCGCCCGACGCGAGGATTAAAACGAGAAGACACAGCACCATCCAGGTGGCAGTGATCGAACCAAAATGTCGAGTGGCCACGGTTTGATCCAAGCCTGGTGTCATAACACGAAATTCCGAACCTGCCTACTTCTAAGCCATGTTGTGTGACCGTAACCTTGAATACGACAAAGGGCTTGTCTCACCGACACCTCATATTCACCGAAGACCAGCGAATCGATGTGTGGATTAAGATGATCTCATTTCTGGCTTACGCACGTGCTTGAGTTGACTGTCAAGGGCAGAATTTGTAGTTTGTTTCACGAATCTGCGCTCTGGCAGCGGCAGGGCGCCCGGCTGAGCAGTCAGAAGGGAGACAACTTGGGAACCCGATTTCATGAATGGGAGACCAAGACGATCTCTACGCGACTCAAGACACACCAAAAGCAAGTATGTAGTAAACGTTATTGTATGGGGGCAAAATTACTGCTATGGTAATACTGGCGCTAAAGGCATGCCACTGAACCGATTTGGCCGTCATAGCAAAGGTAGATCTTAGTAGCAGAGGCACAACAGAGTGGAACTGATAGAGCATGGTAGTATACCACTTAACAGTTGGTATAGCTAAGGCCCAACGTGTGCGGGTGGATCGAGCGAAGAGTATCCCACCCACAAAGGCGCCATTTTACCATCGACCTGAAAAGCTGGTCTGCGCCAGTATTGATCCGAAGGTTGTTTGCGTGTTACATCCTACGCCATTACCCTGCCCCTGGGTCGGTCGCGACCTCGGACTCGGCGACTCGCTAACCCAGACGTTGCACGTCTTCGTCATGAATGGGAGATGCCAACAGGTGTGGCTGCCAGCTGTCGGTGTCACTCACACAGCCAGCGAGGCCTTTGCTATCGGTAGGATTCCAAACGATCCTCTGAGGTCGGGTGATCATGTGACGTGTGTAGCTGCAACTTCCACTCCACCATATATCTCGGTCACATCGGGTCGACAGGCAGCCAAAAGACCACACATCAGGGAGGAAGTTAGGTCAGTCTTCAGCGGTAACGATTATGTTGTACATGTATTGTATCTATAAATAGGACCAATCTAAATAACTATGTACAAAACGGGCAAGTACAGTTGCGGCAATCAAAACCTCACACACCACCACTGGTGAATATCTGCGCTGTCCTGGCTCAAGACGCATATCTGTTACGATCTACCCTGACAAAAGGAGCAGTCGAAGCGCACCTTCTCCTCCACACGGACACAACGCCTACAGACAATCGCCGCGCTCGTGTGTGACCGACAAGCTCTCGTCCAGTAATTACACGCGCCTCAGTCCACTCCGCGGCGAAATCGTCCACGCCGGTTTCACCTCCCAGCCGCGCTGTCCGAGCGTCGCCAAACGTCCGTGGATGCCGCGGCGCATCTGCCGCCGCTGATCGCTAACGGGCGTCGCGAACGTGCCGCGCCGCCAGCTGGCGCGGCCGCGCGGGCTGCCATATCGCGGCGGTGCGGCGGTTTCGCCGTGTGGCCAGCGGGCGGGTTGCTGGGCGCTGGGGCGGGCTTTCGCTGTCTGCCGGGTCTCGAGGACGGGTGGGCGCTGCAGAGGCGACTCCCGTCAGCTGGCGGCGGCTCCCGCTCTCCCACGCACACGGTCACGGATGGACGGAGGTGTGCTTGACCGTGACATCTCCATCTGCGGCGACAGATGACAACGGCTGCGAGGAACATAGATGTGCGACGCACGATGGTCTCACTCAGTGTGAACCATCACGCAGAACACGTGTTGGCCTCAATCAGGTGCAATCTGCGATACAGCGACGTGGTCTCCTGTTCCGTTGGCGGCAAGGGGTTAGGCGCCCTCCGACTTTGAGCTGAAAGGGTGGGGGCTAAATATGGGAAGAAATCCGTTGTGGCGGGTATTTTGCGAGCACGCGTAGCCGTTTTTCTCTGCTCAGCCCCTCCATTTAGTTTGCGAAACTACGGCCCTGCTTTGGCACATTCTCGTGCAATGTCCAATAACAAAACAGCAATGCGTCAAGTTACCCTTTGTTGTGGCTGACAACCCCAATACAGAGGCGTTTGTGCCATGTGAACTTCACTCAAAAACCGCAATACTAGAAGTAGGGTAAAATAAGTTGTCGACAGCCCGAGCAGTTCTGCATATCAGCGGCATGGTTGGGCATTCCAAATTAATTGGAATCGTGAGATGTGATATCGAGTACTAATCTCCCTGAGCCTCAGCAGGTGTTTGATTTGGACTTTGATGGAGCGCATGATGCTTAATTTTTGTCTCAAAGTTAAAAGGGTGACTTGTCCTGCCCCTCCTCGCCCTATTCGACTGCCATGGCCACTACGGAATAATTTAAAGCTATCTTTCGGATAGAATCACTAATAACGAACATTGCAAACCAAGACAAGGACTGGCAAAGAAGGTCAGCCCTCCTCACCACAGCCGTGAATCCGCTCAACAGCACAGCACACCGCTTACCTTCTAGCGAACGCGCGGGTCACGGGGCCGCACTATGCCTCCTCTGCTCTGCCTCCGCTCCACCTTCGCCGCCGTCCGCCAGATCCGCACCGACCGTGTCCACCACCTGGGACGTCTGCGAGCCTGCCGCGGTCAGTCCGAGCAGGGAACCCACGTGGACGCGGTACGGCGTCAGGGTAACGGTCCGCTGGGGGCTGGCGCGACCGCCGTACACGCCGTGACCTGGGAAGGTCACCCGTGGCCGGCGTCCGAACCCACGCTGCCGCGCTCGCGCGCTGCCCACCACCGGCGACGGCGCTGCGTACTCCTGCGCGTGCGGCGCCACGTACTCCTGCGCGTGCGGTTGCGCGTACTCCTGCGCGTGCGGTGGCGCGTACTCCTGCGCGTGTGGCGCCACGTACTCCTGCGCGTGCGGTGGCGCGTACTCCTGCGCGTGTGGCGCCATGTACTCCTGCGCGTGCGGTGGCGCGTATTCGGGCGTGTGAGGCGCGTACTCGGGCCGGTACGCAGGGTAGCCCTCGGGCGGCGGCGCGTGGTGCTTGGGCTGGCGGCGGCTGCCGAAGTTGCGCTCATTCTCGTGGTACGCGACTGCGATCGTCTCGATAAACGGCTCGGGGTTGAAGGAGAAGCGTCCCAGCGCCTTGCCGGCGCGGTGCCCGTGTGTCGGCCGCCGGTACACGGGTGGCGCCGGCGGCACGTACGCTTCCACCACTGGGTACGTCTCGGTCACGTGGAACTCCTCGGTCACGTGGTAAGACTCGGGAGCGACGTGGTACGACTCGGGCAAGCGGTAGCCGCGGAAGGCGGGCTCCGTGTAGCCGCGGGGTTCGTGTGGAAACTTGTGGAGAGGGGCGGGCGGGGTCGTCACGTGCACAGGGAATGGGGCAGGAGGAGGCAAGCGGGCATAGGGGTCATGGGCAGGCGCGGGCGGCGCATAGTGAGGTGAAGACGCAGGTCTAGTCGTGTATGGGTCGTGAGCAGGTGGATAGGAGTGTTCCGGCTTCGCAACATACTTGGTTTTCTTGTACTTGGGGTACTCGTAGTACTTGGGCTTGTAATGCAGCTTGCCGTGTTTGTTATAGATCGGTGCATACTCGACAGCCTGCGCTTTCTGCAGCTTCCGAAAGTGTTCATTCAGTGGGTGTTCTGGGATGCGAGCTCCGAACTGAAGCGGAGCGTGATACGGATCTTGGTAGCCAACAGGCGCATAACCCTCGGGATATCCGGAATAGTGATCTGAAAACGAGCAGTTCCATTAATAAAGCATTTCACATGTTTGACGGGTGCAAGCACACAGCATAACAGGGCTTGTGGTGCTAGCCAGCAATGTCGTTCCTTGAGTGTGCATGAACCAGAAAAAATTGACTTTTGGCGCGCACACTGCAGGACACTGCCCGGGGAGGTACACTCTACAACCGCGTGCCACGTGGAATCGTCGCGCCAGGTCTTCACAATACACGACCGGAGAGATGAAGCCCTCTCGTGCGATCCCCAGCCAAGCCTTGTTATACCCAGGCTGCAGCCCCCGCACTCACCAGTCAGCTGACCATGACCCCTTTCACCGACCCACACTCAACGGGGTGAAACACCATGACCCCTCGCACCGGTTCACACCCATCTGGGTGAGACACCACGACCTCTCTCATCGGCCTACACTGACCGGGGGAGGGGGGGGGGGGGGGTGGAAGACCACGACCCCTCTTACCGGCCCATACTAACGGGGATGGAAGACCACAATCCCTCTCACCGTCCCACACTGACCGTGGGGGGGGGGGGGGAAGACCACGAGCCCTCTCACCGTCCCACACTGACCGTGGTGGAAGACGCTGCGCTGGGTTTTGGTGCCGGAGCTGTCCGTATCGGCTGCACCGTTCACTTCCGCCAGCAGCTGAGCTGTCACTGGGGCACATCAGAAAAAATAGGTGATTTGCACTTATCCCAAGCGCTAAAATTTTCCCAAATACCAAATAAATTGCTTGCAACTCTGCAATGGAATGGACGCTCATATCAGCGTCCAGAAGTGTGATTGTCACGTGCGATGATGACGAGCGATGCAAGCCGTGGCGGGAAGATCGATGGCACGCGTCTGATGCTGGTCATGCTGCCAATGGTGAGACGCGCTACAACCAAGGCTTGTATCTGGTAACCGGCAGCTCTTGCAGGAAGCACTGCTTACCGTGGGTGCGGATACCGGAAATCCCTCCAATCAAAAGCCTAAGATAAAATCTTGTTAAAATCTAGCTACCCTGAAGTACATAGTACTCACCGAACCCATTTTTCCAAGGATCCGATGTAGCCTGGACATCGTGCTGAGTGATCACTACAGACAGGGTGCTTCAGATGAGTACTCACATCGTTCGCTGGACATGAACCAGACGTGGGTTCGGATAGGGACGACATGGGCTGAGCGCTGCTGCACTCACCTGAATCCACTTGGCTGGCGGACGCCCGTCCACACAGCAAGCACAGCAGTGCCAGCGGCAGCCGAGTGGCACCCATCGTCCGACTCACGATCATCGCCGCAACTGGAGCAGTCCAGGCGGTAGCCGCAGTTTTACCGGCGCCCGCAGTTGGGGCGGTGACGTCACGCATTGGTATCACCACGGCATGGTCTGGCTTTGTCGCTCTTTACAGCTGCGACGAGTGGGTTCCTCAGAAACACGACATGGCACGTGATCCGAGGTGTACGTATTTCCTTTTGGTGGTGCTGGATTGAATGGGGTGAAATTGCATGTGATGTCACACGGCGTCGGCTACATGTGGATCGCAGACTTGTCCGGGTTGAAGAGAGTATTCCACATTTGTATAGGGTCTTGGGCTACAATAGCCATCTTGACGATCATTCGGAGCTGTTCACCTCCTGCCTTTCTTAAGACCTAGGCCTACCCTAGTTTTTGGGCTACATTTCCGCGAATGACCATCTCAAGGTCATCCAGGTGTCTATGACACCATAATAACGCCATTCAAATCCTGTCATTTCCTTGGCCATGCGGTGATCGAGGTTGAGTGAAATAAAATCGCCATGTCCTTTATATCTGGTGTTGGTGACCACGATTTCACGATTTCATTTCGATTTCTGGACTTTTATGGATTGTTTATCTTTATCAATCGTTGGTAGTCAACAGGCCCTAGCGCCTCACGTTAGCGCGCCTGGAGACGGGCTCGGGAGAAATGGGACACGTGAAAACAAGTGAAAGATGGCGGGGACATATAGAGCACATGTTATACGCTCTATTGGAGGAATGAGACGAGCAGTAAGTATCGCGGATGGAATAATTACTCTGATTATCTTAATTGACTGACAGCATGGCAAACATAGCTTACCGCATACATGACAGACAGCCAAGCATTATCCAGTCCTTCTCAGAACACCAGGACACCTGACGACGGTCAGAGAGTCAATGGTCGAAACGTTCTGTACAAACTAACACACCAGACACGGAGGATAGTCCGAACAATAATTCCATCCGCGCTGCTATGTCATAACTTTTTGAGACGTTGATGATTGGACAGAGATTTAACAACGTTACATGTTTTTAAGATGCGTGCCTGCTTTATGCACTTGGACAAAGCATTTACATGCTTCTGATGAATATGGTTCTTCAAACACACGATCGTCTTCGGTAACTATCCGTTGTAAAACTATTTCCATAGAAGTGTTATGATCTCAATAGAACTGTAAAACGAATCTAGCTTGGTTCATCTGTTTGTTTCAAACCGAACAGAGATGGAGTTTCGCGAAGTGAGCAGGGAGTGGGGCTGAGCAGTGAAAAATGACGCAGGCCACCCAAAAATATTTATATGCTACACAATAGCTATACATTACACAGGAGCTATACCTACACAACACCCATGCATACGCCGGCTTACTGCCGACAAGGCCGCGCCACAAACACTTACGCGGGGGATTTTCCACTTATATCGTGAGTTAGCATTTTCGGGTTTTCTCGCTCCACTCTCAGGCGGCATCTCCCATACTGGCCACGATTATGCTACGCGTAATGATTTTCCGAGTTATACCGTCGTCGTTTCCTTCAACTTGGTTTTTCCTGTGCGCGTAACTTGGAGCAATGGCTCCGCTTTTTTCTTTTTTTTTGCAATATTGTCGTTCTCACCCGACGTATTTCTTACGGACACCAAATGGCAATCACAAGGCTCCCAAAGCCCAACTTACATAAAAGCAACAAGTGCCATGACTGACTCAATGATTTAGGTGAAAATCCTGCATGGTTTTTGAAGTTCATGCCCGCACATGACGTTGTTTAATACATTATGAATACCTTTCTAAAGATAGTGGCTGTGCTCACTAATAATTAACTCCACGAAAGAAAAAAAAACATTTTGGGAGTTAATTTGGCCTTAGGTTTGGTTGGGAGTAATAGGTCTCCCGGCAATAATAATATTTGCTTAGATTAAATATGCATGTCTTTGTTACTGGCGGCTGTTGGCTAGTTGGCGCACTGTATTGGTCCGCAGACAATTATCATGGAGGCAATTCTTTGTCAATAACCGACTAACAGGCGCGACTGCAAGTGGTGGGAAAAACATTGGCGCACCGACATTGCATGGGCTCTTACGAAACAGATGCTTTCGTCTTAACACGGGCAGCAAACGTCACTTTACTGGGAATCCTCAACCAGCATTCATACATTCATACCGTTTCATGCATGCTTGTCACCGGCCACATCAAAAGGAGGCCTATAGTGTGGTCGTTACACACAGTCTGCGCAGGTTATGTACAACGATCAGACCCCCTCAATTATGAGCGGAACCACACGGCCTACACCACGCATACCTCGGAATTTGTCCCCAGTAAATAGTAGCCACCTGGTGCAAGACTCAGCGCCGCATCACCACATAGCCCCCATCTTCTCTGGTCACTGAATAATGCCGGAATCCCCCTCGGCACGCCGAATCCCCATCGGCTCATATGTACAAACCTCGCCTTCCGGAATTGCTTTAATGATTTTAATAACAGCACCCTCAGTGACCGAATTCACTGCCGCTGCTCAGGGTCAGTTACTCATGGTTATCTTAGCTAGCCTCCTTCTGTGGCCGCGAACCAATCCAGTTACGGAAAAACATCAACCAACTTTTCCGACAGACCAACGCCCTTTTCCGACTTCCATCTCCCGGGAGTCGCAAGAAGACAGCTGAAAAGCGAGTATCACGTTCTGCGAGTTGCAAGTCCATCAAAGGTACCCGTCACGTGCTACTGCTACTCTCACCAGCGGCCAGCGGCGTGCAAAAATGCGTCCCACCTCACCTGTGAGTCGCGGTGAGATCGACCAACAGCCAATTCCCTAATTTCTGCGCGGAGTGGGACCTTTCAACCCACGGCTAGACAACTGCCTACGTACACTTTAGGACTTTCTCCACCGCTCCCTGCGAGGAGTCATAACGCGAAGCATCAGTGACGCGTTTAGCCCGTGGTGACAAAAACCTTTTCATTGCACTCGTGGAAAATTAACAGTCGCCCCGAGTTGTACGCAATGTATGAGCTGTGCAAGATCATTAATTTGATATATAAGCATGGACCTGATCACGACACATCCACTCTCATAGCACAAAATTCAGGTCACACATTTATTCGTTTATCTGCTATTTTCCCGCAGACCATGCATTGAAGCGCATTCAAAATGCCAGGCAGGGGCCGGCACGTCATACAACACACATTAGCTACATATTTTTAGATTAAACATTCCTGGCCTAACATTCCTACAGAATGCTTACTCTTAATTGTCTGATAAGAGGAAAAGGGGATGGGATCTCAGAATCCCCGCAGATCGTCGATTCCTCTGTCGAGCCTACATTGCTCAGAGGTGTAGGCGCCGGGCGCCCGGCCGTCAGCGCGCTAGACCGATATGCTCCCCCATCACCGCGTTGTATCAATGTCCCTCCGACAGCCGACTGTCACTGCTACTGCACTGTCCGGACGAACCAGTGTTCTCGTTTGAACGTCCCTACTCCGACAGGGTGGGGACGTTCATAGACGCTCGACATAGCGGCGCTTTTAACGGGCCGCCCCTATTGATCGTCCTCGCACGCATGTCCGGAAAGAGCGCGCTGGCCAGACGTAACAAAAAACGTGCTCGCACATCGGAAAAACAGCACGTGGCCCGCGGCGGATAGGTACGTCGCGTTACACATCTGAAGCAAACCTGCTCAGTCCCGCCCCCGGGATTACAGAAGAATACACGCGTTGTAAGAATAACTTACTTGCACTAAAAAACCGGCGTGTGACTGCGGCGGATCGATACAACTGCTGTCCTGTGGCCCGTCTGTCCTGTCTGCTTGCGTTTGGTCAAATGTGGTACTGTCTGGTTCCGTCAGGCTCTGGTCAGCACGTGCCGTCCCATCTGGTCCTATTTGGGCTCGTTCGGTTCATTCCATCCTCATCTCATATGTATTTCCCCCACCCATTTTCCCACATCTATGGAACAAGAGCATACACCTTTGGAACATAGCAGTAGCCGAAGTCAGGAAACGTATGTTCCAAAGGCAGTCACGAACAGGCAGCAGAAGTGTAGGCACGCCAAATGTCTGTGGCCTTAAAATAAACGAAATAAAAAGTGGCAATCTTCAAGTCAAAAAAACATCTGCAAACGAATCGGATAGCAAATAACATGTAACTCAAAACATGTTTGAAACAATCATAAACCTCACTATGTGCGCATAGTGCTGGACGCACGGTTTACAAAAACACTTGCTCAAAACAAGATTTGTATTTTATTTAAGCGATGTTTTAGAGCTTATTCACAAACGTCAGCTAAAAAATTTGGCAGGCAAAGGGGCTTTTGCGCGCAAAGACAAAAACATCCGTGGAACATAGGTGCATGAATTGCCTGTGAACGAAGTTCTGGGAAAACGCATCTATTTTGGTGGAAAGATAGTCAGGTTCGACCAGGTTAGGCACCTGTATGGTTGCTATCGTCAAGCATTCCACTAGCCTTTCAAGTTTATGGATATGGGTGATCATTCGACAATCACTTGTGATGCACAGCACTGCCCGGTTCCGCATCACTTTTGATTTATACCGATCATGTCAGAGACACTGCTGAAATGGTCATGCACTTTGTGGGCGACGCATTCAGCTACGCCTTACAGGTGGCCTGCGCTGGCGTGACCTAGTGCACACAGGGGCGCGCACTGGCGTGACCTAGTGCACACAGGGGCGCGCGCTGGCGCCAGTGAGATCGCACTTTCCTTTGTCGTCTGTCACACTGTCATACTGACCACCGCGGCTCCGAGCCGCTGACGTCTGAGCTGGGCTTCCAACTGCCATCAGTTCTGATCAAAACACCAACAGTCGCATCACTAGCCAGTAAGCAGCGCTCGGTGCCATGCTTAAACACTCCCAGAGTGCCGAGGGTTCATCTTGAGTATCGACGAAGGCTATGCCGCCAGTGCCAACATCCATTACTTAACACGTCACACCCGTATTGCTGGCATCGCTGAGCCATTTCCCATACAATGTCGTCTTACAGCCGGTGAGCTTGGCCCGAACATTTTCGGGCCACGCACGTCGGTCCTCGCGGCTGCGGGCGCGCGCCGCCCGCCTGTTTGACAGGTGAAAACCCGACCGCGGAGGCGTGCTCACGCCGCTGGCGCAGCTGGCGCCGCGGCACAATGGCCGCGCACCGCGCCAGAATGGGGGCGCGCGCCGATCAC